CCTCAAACTCCTGGGCTCAAGTGATTCTCTTGCCTCAGCCTCCCAAGTAGCTGGGACTACAGGCACCTGCCACAATGCCCGGCTATTTTTTGTTGTTGCAGTTATCATTGTTTAGCTGGCCTGGGCCAAGTTTGAGCCCACCAGCCTGGATGTTATGTGGCCAGCGCCCTACCCACTGAGCTACATGTGCAAAGACAAGCTTTTTAGTGTACTGGAGCATCACTTCAGTAGTGGTGTCTATGTATGTTGCTAGCAGCCCAGCTGCATCTGATAAATGAGCTCTTAGCACATGGCCCCGCTGGGATACTAGGACAAGCCACTTGGGGCCTGGGCACTAGCATACAACTAGCTGGTAACACAACTACTGACCATCTCTCCATCCTTGTCCCTCCCGACTGTGCTCATCTCCCCAATACACATTCTGACCCTAATGTCCTGAGAAGAACCCAGGGGTCATGCCATCCCCACCTCACAGAGTTCCAGAGCCCAGCTCCTCTGCAGCACTTACCCCACATGCTCCTTGCCAGGCCCATGGCCTTGCCCTGGCTATCAACCTCCCATTACTTCTGGTTTATCTGCCTCTGGTCTGAGCCCTTCCAATCTGCCTCCCAGATACGTCTTATTTAAAAAGCAAATCTGGGGGCCAGGTGCAGTGGCTCATGTCTGTAGTCCTAGCACTTGGGAGGCCAAGGCAAGTGGACTGCCTCTCTAGAAATAACAGGGCTTTGTGGGGGGAACCTATAGTCCCAGCTACTCAGAAGTCTAATCAGTCTAAGAAGTCTAATCTTCTTGGGCGTAAGAATCACTTACGCCCAAGAGTTTGAAATTGCTGTGAGCTATGATGCCACAGCACTCTACCATGTATGACAAAGTGAGACTCTTGTCTCAAAATAAATGAATAAATGAATAAAAATAAAAAGCAAATCTGACCCTAAAAGTATACTGGCCAGCTTTTCAGTATCTCCCTTTCCCCTACTTTCAGGAAGAAGTCCAAACTTAGTTGAAACACTAAATAGAAATGAGGCTGACTTACTGGCCAAGAGAAAGTCGGCCCAGCTGCCCTGTAGGTGTGGAGGCAGGAAAAGCTGTGTGAGGATGAAGGAAGGGAAGCAGCCTGAGAACCCCAAGAGTCATGCAGATCACACTGGGAGGTGGGGTCACATGAGGACATCTGGACAGCCAGTCACTGAGAGTTGGAAGCAAACTATGGTAAAATTTAAGATTCTCATGGCTGCCACATGCGGAATGGAATTTAGGGGAGCAGTAACAGCAGAGACTCATTAGGCTACTGATGCCATCCGGGCAAGAGATGATGACAGCTTGGACCAGGCTGGGAGCAGAAGACGGGCCCAACCGGGACGGATCTGACGCAGTCTGAGGGTGAGACGTGGTGCTGCCCAGCTTGATGGGAGAAGTGAGTAAGAGACAGGAGGTGAGGATTTCAAGATTTTAACCACACTTGTGAAAGTCTCAAAAGAGCAGTCAGCTGTTCTAAGAACATAATGTGGGTCTGTAAAATTTAAGGGATCATTAAAGTCCAGGCTTAATAAGAAACTGAGCGTCTCCTTCCCAACAGTCATGTGAAAAGTGGCGCCTCGTCCCCCCAAGGCAAGACTGGGGAGGCAAAGAGCATCTAAGCCCGGCGCTCACCAGTCCAGAGGGTCATTCTTCATCCTTAAGTTATCCCTCGGGAAGTAGCCGGGTGGATAGCGGAGATTGTGGTACTGATCCCAGAGAACTCTCTTGCTTCGTGGAGGAGTAGGAATTATCTTCACCTTGATCGGGAGCTTCACTGTTGAAGTCTGTTCTGCACCACTTTTTGACTAAAAAACATACAAACTTGAAATGCCTCCTTTGCCCAGAAAAATCTTCCACATTTTTGAGTCAAAAAAACAAACCATTTCTATTTACCAATTTAATCCAAAGAATTTGAACACAAGCATTGTGACTAACAAACATACAATGGAAGATTCACATACCACGGTTAACTCCTTGCTAACACTTAAGAGTTTATGATTAAAAGTTGAAGACACTTTCGGAACACTTGTAGAGCTACCTGCGATTAACCCCACATTTCTTTTCAGAGGACGCGTATTCCTGATATGCTCATTCAAAGCCTGCACTCAGCACAGATAGCCCTCTCCGCTGCTGGGCAGTATTGGGGCGACGAACACCCTTGCCCATGCAGTGAGCCGGTTCCCTAACTCCAGTTGCTCTGGAGGCCCCGGGAACCACTGGTCATGGCCATTAAGGCTAACCTCATTTAAACGGAGACCCTAGGCATTAAGCCTGCCCACCCTCTTCCTGGCAGGTGATGGGTAAAGGCTAAGAAAAATAAGCCATTTCCCTGGCACGTCCTTACTTCCGTCTCTGCTGGGGAAGCCACGGTGATCATGACATGGCCCTGAGCAATACCTTCCCAGGAAGCTGCTTTCTTGGTCACAGAAATGGAGATAGCCAGGTAGCCTGACCAAGGCCATAACACTGAGGAGTAAGAGAAAGCCACTTCGATGTTGTCTCCATTCTGTGGCAAATAGGGCTGCCAGTCAGGCTGCAGAGAGAAGAAACCAAGCAAAGGCTGCAGTGAAATGCTAAGAGACAAAATATCGGAAAGCCAGACACACCTCAAATCCAAAATTACCTACGCTGGTTGAGAAATACCTCATTCAATAAGGTAAAAGAAAATTTATACTCAGATACTATCAATAACCTATAACCACAGTAGCCTATAGACTGGCTAGAGACACATCTGCAAGAAACATCTAGAAAATACTACTTCTGACAGCTTCCAATTTTATGAAGACTTTCCCCCCATTATAAAAAAGGAGGAGCCACGTGTTAAAAGTTCCTTTTAAAACTTTTATCTGATTAGAAACCTTTGATAAATGAAAACCCTCAGACTGAGGTTAGACCCAAATTAGCTGTAAGACGCAGTAAAATGACATGAACACCAGCCGTCCCCATCAAACACTGAAGCTAATGACGGGCAGGTGGAGGGCGCTGGCTCGGCTGTAAGGCGACCACCCTCTCCAACCCACCCAGCTTTGAGGAAAGCAGAAGGAAAGCCTTAGCAGAGACCATCTGGAAGAAATATGAACAAGCTCTTAAAATTAACCAGTATTTCAAACCTAAATTATTCATTCCCCTCACAAGCCACATAGCAAGAACATATTCCCCAAAGGAGTCAGTATATCAAGAAAAACATTCTAAAAAAGGAAAAATATTTGTAGGATACAACATCACAATTAATGAGGAAGGAAAGGGACTTTTAATGAATGCTCTTAGGACCACTAGTTAGCAAGTGAGAAAAAAGTTTAACTTTCATCCACCTCTTACATCACATATCAAATTAGCACAGAGGAAAAAATTAAATATTTAATAATCATATAAATGAAAATCAGTAGAAAAATAAAACTGAAATTTTATTATGTCCGTAGGAATTAGGTTCTAATCTTTGAAACAACAAAAGAAATCACAAAAGATAAAAATTCAACTATGTGAAATGTTAAAACTTTTATAGAAGAAAAAAATTGAAAACTATTACAATAGTACTAAGGGAAAAAAAAAAAGAATAACCTGGAGGAATACTCTGCATAAAACACAGCAGCAGTTACTTTCGCTGTGACGAGTGAGACATGATCTCACCACAAGGTCTCATCAAGATCTTGTTAGGGCTGACAGGGAAAATACCAACTTCAGTAGAAGAATGGGCCCAGGAAAACAAAAGGTAATTCATACAAGAGGAAGTACAGTAAGACGACACATCCAGAGATACCTACCTCACAAGAAAGTACTCAGAAAAGCCAAATGCTCATCAACAGAGGAATTGGGAGACAAAACGTGCTCTAACAAAGAACAGAGTGTTATTCAGCCAGGAAAGCCCTGAAGTGCTGACACACCACACGGGGCGAACCCTGAGAATGCTGTGCTGAGTGAGAGAAGACACAGAAGGACAGATGCTGTAGGACTGCGCTTACAGACACGTCCAGAGCAGGGAAGCTCTTATACAGAGGGAGGCGGATGGGCGGTTGCCAGGGGCCAAAAGGACTGATGATGGGTGTAAAGTTTCTTTTGGGGGTGATGGGAACATTCTGCAATGAGATGTTGGCAAAATCATGGGAATACACTAAAAATTTAAAAGACTGGATTTTATGACTTATTTTTCAATTAAAAAAAAAAAAAAAACTCATGGAATAAAAAAAGTAAGAAAGGATGTCTCACCCAGTGCAGGCCTCATGGAGACCATTTGCCCCTGAGTACCACTGGCAGGCAGCCTAAGTTGATGGGAGAGAATTCTGTCTCTGAGACAGAATGTGTCAGTATGTGCCCAGAACCATAATAATGTTCATACCCTCTGATTGAGGGAGTCAATCTAGGGAGTTCATATCAAGGAAATAATTTAGAAGAGAACAATATATGAAAGATATTCAGTGAAAATGTTTCTAGTTGAAAACCGCCTAACTATTCAAATAAGGGGAAATAGTAAACAAATTATAATTGATCAATTCTACATTTTATTAAGTAACCCTTAAAAATACATTGGTGCTGTGTGTACAGATACATTTTTATGTTTATAATATAATGAGAACTCTAAAAAGGTTATACATTTTTAACACAGAGATAACAAAGATAACACAAATATGTATTTCAGATAAGTGATGGAAAAGAATATTCCAAAAGCAGAGGCTACGTCAGTGTGCTGGGTGAGAAGTGAGCTTTCTATTCTTTTTCCCTACCCCTTATTGTTGTGAGAATATCTATATTGTATTTTGAAAATTTATAAAAACAAAATTCAATAGCTTACACCTTTCAAATCCAAAGGCCAGTCTATGCTTACTGAGGAATAAAATAATTACACTGGGCCTTTTGTCACTAGAAATCCAACACGCCCACAACTAGGCCTTTAATTATAGGTGGGAAATTGTACAGATAAAGAATCAAATGTGATTAGGTGACTCAGAAGCCAACCTGAAGACACCAAAGCAAAAAGCAAAACTGGTTTCATTTATGTATACCCTGGACATATCCTGTAATGGACTTAGGGATAACAAATCACTACTTCTAGTCACTACCTTAGATAGGTAAAAAAGAACCTTTCCTCTTATAATTCAAGAGAAATAACTAAAGCACAAAGGTGTGGACCATGTCTAAGTTCACCACCAAGTCAGACACCAAGACAGAGAGAAGTTTCACCTTATCTACAATTCTTCCTGTGACTCCCATGCCATTGAGGATGGTGACATTGACAATTGTTGGCATTCCTCCGTAGTAGATGGGTTGGGAACAGTAGGGCCACATGTAGGGACATTCAGTCAGATCTATGTAGCTGGGGCTCAAACTGAAATAAAAAGAATACAGTGTTAAAGCAGACCATGTGAGAAAACTACAGAGCAGCAATACACTGCAGGGAAAAGGTGACACAGCAGACGTGAGCCCAGGGTCTGCTCACAGAGCTGCCCGAGGCTGTGCTGGGAACACGGATCTGAAATGCTCCTGTGCTGACAGGTCGCCATGCCAGCCTCAGACTGTACACAGCATGATGTGCGTGGACACCTCTTTCTTTCCACAAGTCTGGAGCTTTGGTAGTCATGGCTGGCAGAGAACGAGTGTGTGACCAGCCTTAATAGAAACCCTGGGCTTGAGTCTTGAGGAGGCTTCCTTGGGCAGAAGCACACAGATGCGTTGATGCTGTTCACTGCTGGGAAAGGGGCAAGCTCCGTGAGACCCTGCCTGGAAGGAAGCCTAAGCCTGGATTTTACCAGACTCCCTCCATGGGAGGTACCTTTTTCTGTTACATATCCATCTCAGCTTTGGCACTGTAATGAATCTTAGCTGGAAGTACTGACCACAGGCTGAATCCCACAAGTCCTTCTGCAAAGCACCAAGCCTGGGGGTGGTTCTGGGAACCCTCACATAATTTGTGTCAGAAATCCTGATACAAGTGGCTCCCCTAATTTTGCTGTTCTGTGCTTCCCCCCTATCTGAAATGAATTTGTGCTGGTTTAATATCATCCCTAGCACAGCTGCAGTGTTATCTGTGCATGGGTGAAGAGACAGGCAGGTGAGTGCTCAGACAGGACTTGACCGAGATGCTGCACTGGGAACATGAGGAGTAAATGAATCTTGCTTATCAAGCTGCACCTGTGCGCACTAGGCACAAGACTCTGCCTGCTGCCCCATCTCACTAAGGTTGGCTGGCCTTTCTTATCATCTACACAATGAGTATTTTATGCAAGTTCATAATAACAAAGATTTATCTGAGCCAACTAAATTGCTATATAACAAATCAAACAGAATAGCTTTAGGAACATTGTGCCTTCCTGAGCAATTATAATCAACATGTTCCACAATTATTCATTTAAAATAGATACCACCTAGATATAAAAATCTGGAGTGGAGTGGCCACATGACTACTATTTGAATGAATCAGCAAAAGTACCTGTTCCACCTGAAACACGCTAATCAACCTGCTGATATCTGTGCTCTGTAAACAGTTTAATATAACTAAAATGTTAGAATTAATTAATTCTGTTTAGCAAACAGAATTCAGTATCATATTAAGAAAACAATACTGTAAAACCAAGCTAGATTTAAGAATGTAAGATTGGTTCAATATTAGGAGATTCATTAATACTTTCCATCATAAATCATATTCATATGTCTAAACCAGTCATATGATTCCTTTATAAATGCTGAAAATGCTTATGAAATTCAACATACAGTCCTGATGAAAAACATTCAAGAAAACAGCAATTGATGGATACTCTCCTGCCATGATAAAATATATTATACATACCTTAGTCATGAACCCAGCATTTTACTTAATGGGGGAAACACAACAGGCATTTCCATTGAGAGGAGGAAAAATAGAAGGGCACCCACTACCTCCACTGCTATCCAACACCGCACCAGAGATACTGGCCCACACAGTGAGTCAGAAGAAATCAATAAAGCCTCAAGAAGTGGTAAGGAAGAGGTAAATTATTCCTCCTTCCATATGATATGATAGTATACCTGGGAAATGCTAGAGAATCAACAATCAAATAATGCCAACAATCCAGGTAGGTGGTGCCAGGCACAGAGGCTCATGCCTGTGATCCCAGAATTCTGGAAGGTCAAGGCAGGTGGATTGCCTGATCTCACAAGTTCAAGACCAGCCTGAGCAAAAGTGAGACCCTGTCTCTACTAAAAATGGAAAAAGTGAGGCAAGAGGATCACTTGAGCCCAGGAGGAAGAGGTTGCTGCGAGCTATTTATTATATCACAGCACTCTACCCAGGGTGACAACTTGAGACTCTTGTCTCAAAAAAATAAACAAACCAGGTAGGTAGCATATAGAATGTGAAATTAACACATGGAAGTAAAACCAGCCAGTTAGAGGATATAATAGAAGAGAAATCCCTAAGACTAAATGCTTACACAAAGAAATGTGTAAAACTCAAGGAAGACAAATGTAAAGACCTCCTGGAGCAAAGACTGAAGCCAATGGATACGTCATCCTTCACCTCTTGGACAAAACAACCCACCATTATACAAATATCACCTCTAAGGTCATTTAAAATCTGATGCACTCTCAATAAAATCCCAATAAGCTTCTTTCACTGAATTATATACATTAATACAAAAATCTGTATAAAAACATTCAAAGTATCCAAGAAAACACTGAAAAGTATGGATCTGCTAGTTTTAATGGTTGTATTAATACTATGATCACCTAAAATTGTGGCATTAGAAGAAGCTGGGTAAAGGGTATGAGAACTCCACTGATATTTTTGCAAAATTTTTATAAACCTAAGATTATTTCAAAAGCTTTAAAAGCTTTGAAATAAGGCTTTTTGTTTAAAAACAAAACAACCCACACGAATCATAAATTTTAACCATTTATATTAAAGATAACAGAACATCATTGAGTTGAAAGAATATTATAGTTACAAATCCTGCCGGCCAGGGCCCTAATAGAGGCAGCAGCATTACCTCTCACTAAGTGCCCCCCCAGGGCCCCCCCAAGTATTATCTGTTTTATTTTGAGGCCAGTATTTTGTGCAGAGAGAACTCTCCCACCAAGGACACAGTGAACAGGAGGAAGACCTGTTCAGAGAGACAGCATACTAACCTTGCCTGCGGTCTGTAGCTGCTGAGGATCTGATAGGCTCGGAGCAGATCCAGCTTCCCGTGGCCTTGCTCAAACATATTGACACCAGGAAGCCTGCGGGCGGACGCAATCAGGGCCTGCTTCATACTGGCAGGATTCACCAGCTCACGCTTCTGGACTGTGCTGGGGGAAAAATCAAGATTTTGCTCATTTTTCTTAGCAAGGGAATGAAAACTAGACTACCACTAACTTACCAACATGCAGACACAGAGTCTTTGATCTTGTTTTGTGTCCATGGGTCTCTCTGGTTGAGCCCGTGTGAGACAACAGTGAGCTCTGCTCACTTCTGTGCTTGCCTTGGGACTGACCACTCAGCAACAGACTTCCAGGCAGCTCTTTTCAGGGACTGTAGGTTAACACCTGTTTATGCTAAATGTATCAGTAACAGATATTTTTTCTGGTAAGTCAACTAAACTGAAACATACAAATTGCAGAAGACAAGATATATAAGAGGTCCTGGCTCCCGAGGGGAGAGAAAGCCCACTGGTCAGGAGACACTCGGGACACAACCTGACTGGAGGAATAAAAGGAGCACAGATGGGTCCTGGGGAGGTTCCACGCCACAGAGCCGGGCAGGAGGCACGGGTGCACGTGGAAACCACTGCCTTCAAAGCTATCCCTTGCCTTTCGTTTCCAGATCAGGAGGCATCCCCTGATGGATAACACCTTTTAAAACACAGCAGACCTTCAACCACCTTCAGAGTTTCATCATCAGAATTCATCTGAGCAAATGTTACCACCCAACTCTACCCAACCAGGAATGTAGTCACGTACGCTAGCATTAAAACATGCACATTTGTTTATGTATTATAAATATAACTACATTTTACTCCCTAAGTTGAGGGGAGAAAAATCAGTAGGCAAAAAGGGAAAGCTTACTCTTCTAAGTTCCTAAATACTAGTAACATTTTTATATGATGATGTTTGGTCTCAAAGTCTAGGCAGGTTTTCTAAATGAGAAATTTGATATAAGGAGAATAGGAGATTAAAGTAGGATTAATTCTCAACGACAGAATAAAAGAACTGTTAACAGGCATAGGTCAACAATCTTCCCCTTCTTCCAGCCTGTAAAGTAAAATCAAAGGTCAGGCTCCTTTCAGAGTACTGCAGGTCAGGAAGCCCTCCTTTGTTGCCCAGCATCTAATATGAGCTATTGTCAAGCCACAGAAGTTTTTGTAAATGATCATGATGGCATTTTTATCTATAGCAAGGAGATGAGGAGAGTGAAAAGTTTCCTTGATGCTGAAAATATCTGTACTTAGACATGCCGCTGGGAATGGAAAACACAACCTCCTCATCTCTCCACTTACTTAATAGTAAAGAGATTCAACAAGCTCCAGGGTAAAGCTGAAACCCTCATTTCCTGCTAACAACCATGGCAAGCGGGAGAACTGAACCAGTATTTTGTGCTTCCAGAACAAACAAGACTGGAAACAGGAGCTCTTGCTGAATTCTTTCCACTTGGCAAATGCAAAAGCACAAGTGAAAGAGTAACTTTCCATCCACCTTCCCTTCCTTCTAGAGAGGAAAGCAACCAGAAGACAACGACCCACAGTATCTCCAGCAAGGACTTGGTTTATCTCCCAAGACTACACTGGCCCACGGCAGCACCTTCAACAATCTGGTTCTGAACTAAAAGGGAAGGATGGGGGAGGAAGAAAGAATGTGGGTATCTACCTTCATCAAGGGTTACAAACAAATAAGCTCAGGCATTAGAAGCTAAAATCAACATTGAATTTACTATTAAAGAGAATTTTATTTATTTATTTTTTTTTTGGAGACAGAGCCTCAAGCTATCTCCCTGGGCAGAGTGCCATGGCACCACAGCTCACAGTAACCTCCAACTCCTGGGCTCAAGCGAGTCTCCTGCCTCAGCCTCCCAAGTAGCTGGGACCACAGGCGCCCACCACAACGCCTGGCTATTTTTTTTGGTTGCAGCTGTCATTGTTGTTTGGTGGCCCGGGCTGGATTCGAACCCGCCACCTAGGTGTATGTGGCTGGTGCCTTAGCCACTTGAGCCACAGGCGCCGAGCCCAAAGAGAATTTTAAACATAAAATTTTTTAATATCATTTGCCTATTTTAATCTAATTTTTAAATTAGAATAACTTTCAAACATGCTGAGCTTCATGTGTTACCACAACATCAGAGCTCTCCTAAAAACCTCATCTAGATAGACAAAAATTAAGATTATGGGGGAAAATAATAGCCACAAAATAAGGAAACATGGCCCATCTGATGAGAAGAGCACAGGAGCTTGGATTTCAGTCTAGGGGCTCTGAGACCTTTCTTCCGGTTTCCTTATCTGCAAGATTCAAGGCCAGTCGCCAGCTCCATCCCAACCACACGTGACCCAGTGAGACAAAGGGGAGCAGTAGTGTCAATCTCTCCAACAGGTCTAACATTCCTAACACAGTACATTAAAAGGTGAGTCCCTGCCACAAAAACAACAAAAAAGGTTTAACCATGTGAGAAGATGGCTATGTTACATTGCTTCACTAGAACAACCTTTTTAACTCACCATATGTATGTATCTCATGGCATCATGCTGTATATTTTACATATCCATAATAGAATTTATTTTTTAAAAAAAGGTGATTCTGGGCAGCACCTGTGGCTCAGTGAGTAGGGTGCCAACCCCATATACCGAGGGCATGGGTTCAAACCTGGCCCCAGCCAAACTGCAAGAAAAAAATAGCCGGGTGTTGTGGCAGG